AGCCTTTTTTTACATGATGAACTATCATGGATTTTGTTAACAACAATAGTGTGGATGTTGCAAAGTTCGCAAAGTTAAAAAAAAATGACAAGCAAAACTGTAGAACTCTACAAGAAAAACATCCAGTAATTCACAGTTTGAATAAATGTGATTTATAACTGTTGACACATGACAGTATTCAGTTAAACACAGAGCTACAGTTCACGCTGGGAGGTTTGAGCATAGACCTACACTGCTGCTGCTCTGTGGTGTGGCCTTATTGACCAACACCGCAAACGTCACCCAGTCACTGTCCTCCAGTTTCTCCCGAGCCAAACGCTCCGGCACCTGTGACAGACGAATGAAACGGCGGTCCGCCATCTTGCGGTCCATCTCGCTGGAGGAAACCCGCGGTTTTCTGAAATTACAAAAAAAAAAAAAAAAAAAAAAAAAAAAGGAGCCTGGATTCAGATTGGGAAAGCCTAGATTCAAGTGTTGACAAGTCAGTCTCGTAATTTCTGTGTCCTGACCTGAGCCGCAGCCCTGAGTATCTCTCAACAGCCACGTCTTTAGGAAGAGGAGGAAGAGAAGAGGGTTTCGGCTGTCCTGCTGCTGCAGCTGGAGCAGCTCTGGTGTGGGAGGCTGCAGGTGAACGCAGAGGATTGGAAACCTTGCTGCTGCTGCTCTCTACTGGCTGGAAGGAGCTGCCGATCTTAATCTCCACCAGTGGCCCCCTATCTTCTGAGTGAAGAAAAGTACATTCAGGTAGCACAAGTAGTATGTCTGCACATCAGTCTTTAAGTTACAATGACAGAACTGTTGTTGTGATTCTGTTTTTTGTGAAAAGATGGTGTAAAGATTGGTTTTACCTGGTGATGTGCTGGGTTTGGGTTCATGAGCTACTCTGGGTTTGCGTTTGAAGGAGTCAGCGTTATTCAGCTGGTCAGAAAAGTCTGAAGACTCCTGGAGCTTCACTCCTCCTCCTCCTCCTCCTCCTCCTCCTCCTCTAACCGCAGTGGATGAAGACGTTGCTGTTGTCAGAAAACGAGGAAAACAGAAGCACAATCAACCTCTGTTCCCCTGTGTCATTATCAATTTATTTTGTACTTTATGTGAAAAATTAAACAGCAGAAGTTGCCAGTGTACAACACCATGTTCACCTGCTTGTGTCTTGGTCTTCTGTGAGGGAGCTGCTGGCTTGACCTGGGTCACTTTGGGGGTGAGCTGTCGGGGAGGTGTTGGTTTGGGGGCCACAGGTTTGGGAGCAGCTGAGCGCCCTGCAGCCCTGACTGGAGGGGTGGATGGGGTGGAAACCTTCTGACTCGCCTCCAGCTGCTGCTGCAACTTCTGCATCTGCTCCTGCATCTGCCTCAGCTCCTCTGAGGAGGGAAGACTCCAGTGGTGAACACAGACCGAACAAGCAACACTCAACTGAACCAAATGACTTTGTTCATCAACTAGACGCAGATTGAAGGAGAGACTGCTGTGGCACAAACCTTGTAAATCCTCCTTGGACCTGTTCAGACTCTCACTGGCTTCTCCTCCGCTTGCTTTTCCTTTAGTGTCCTTCTCCTCATTTTCAATGTCATCCACATCTCCAAAGAGATCTGACACCGTGTCCTCTGCCTCCACATCTCCCCCTTCTTCCTCGACGCCCTCTTTGTACTCTTCCTCCTCATCGTTGTCATCATCAAACAGGCCGTCCAAATCGTCGGCCTGCTCCTGACTGCCCTGATCTTCTGCGACACCCTCGCTCTCAGCCAGCAGCGCCGTCAGAATGTCCAGATCATCCTCACCTGTGCAGATAATAAGTGTAAAGGCGTGTTTCCCTGAACTATTAAAGCTTTTGTGTTTGAAATCTTCTGATACTTACTGTCCATCTTTGTGATGTTAATGGTGGGGCTGATTTCAGATGACCTGGTGACCTGTACAGGCAGAATGATAGGTGGAATGAAGGAGAGACTAATTCAGCAGCTCTTTTAGTTAAAATTAAATTCTCTCTAGAAGAACAAATGTGAAAGACATTTTGAAAACTGAGACACAATTAAAGTGTCAATTAAAGGTGTTCGGTAAGCAATGTCACTTCATGCTCCATAGTGGGAGTTTTGCATATGTAGCAGTAGCAGAGTACTGGTGGTGAGTGGAGCAGATTTTAGGCACCATATGCACAGCTGATGATCAAAAGACAAGGTTAAAATGTTCAAATGGAGTCAATGATGAAAACCCTCATATGTGGGTAAAAATGTCAGTTTCACTGTTTTTATCCCTAAAAAATTTATTAATTTAATTATATCAACTGTATGTTTCATAGTAAGTTTTCCTACATTCATTTTACTGTGTTATGAAACATCATCTGCTGCTACAACGACCCATAATATTTAATCTAATGCTGCATGATGTTGAATCACTGTTAGGCGACTGACATTTTTTCTCTCTAATCCATCCAATAGTGTTTGTTCACACCATATGTTAGAGGCTCTTCTTGTAGCTCTTTTTCAGCTGTAGCTCTAAATTTTTATATCACACCAAGCTAAACATTTCCCCATGTTAAACACACACACTTCTGTATAGTGTCCCAATGCTTTGAAGCAATTTCAAGTATGATTCCTTGTCTCTTCTTGCATTAGTAACTTAATCAAATCCCTATGTTTTCTATTATTTCTTCCAAGTATTACACTGGATTAAATAATACAAATTTATAAGACACTGATCATAGTTCAAGCCCTGTTTCAAGAGTTTCAACAAACATGGATTCCTTAGTAGTTGTGGTCTCTGACAGAAATGTCATTTACATTTAAAATGTCTGTTCAGTTCAGGTGGTACTAGCACGGACTCATCGCTGTCAGTTCTTGGTGTAGCCACATTTATCAAAGCACAGCACAAAGTGAGTGACAAGCTTTTGATACAAAGTTATCACCTTGTATACCAGCACCATATCCACAAAGTGTAACACCCAGTACTGCTATGTCTATCTGTCCAGTGCAGCACAGAACTGTGCAGGTAAAATATCTATAGAATCCCTACTGGAAAGAGATTTCCATCCTATTTCTGAGAGAGGAGTAAAGTGTTGGATTCAGGTTCATCCTCATGTAACTCGTCTCAGGTGAGGCCACGGTCTGGTTTAACGGGCCCGTTTAAACTGACATACAGTCAACATTTAACAAGGGAAACAGTTACTGAAGTCATGTCAACATTTGAGGAGATTAACACCATTCGTTTTTTTTACTGACTAGAATGAAACCATTGATCAAGTCTTTCATAAACCTTTAGCTTTCCATTACTTTTACTCTGACATAATGAAAAAGCAAACTTACTTCAGATTCTGGTTGTTCAGTTTTGGGTCCTTCACTGACTCTAATGTACCTTTGACCGCCTTTTAACGACGTCCAACTTGTTAATTAAGTGCTTATTTTCCAGTAATTAACATTACACTACGATATACACCATTCCTTACGTTATATTTCATAAGAATGACACATTATTGTCCTTTACAAGCTCCACTCATAGCGAGGGAAATCTAAACTGGCGCTAAACGGAGGACCCTGTTGTGTTGTCAAACGTCTGTTAGGTGCCCAACGATCTGCCTGACTGAAAAAAGAGGCGTCTGTGTCGTAGAGTGGCTTTTTTGACTAAACCCTGAGGAATGAATTTCTTAAAAATAAATATTCTTAAAGTTCTAAATACATTAACCAACATACATTTCTTCGGGTTTTAATTTTGTTGTAATATTTGTCCACGGCGAAACCAGGAGCCTAAAATCTGTGTTTACAAGACTAAGGCTCTGAGCCATGAAGGTAGTTTGCCCTTTAGTGTTTAAGTCACACTCACTGGGGTTGACAGATCTTGACACTGTCTAAACCTCAACCCTTTACAGTACCATTATAGCATTTAACTATCTATGAATTCACGCAGTTGCTGATTTGATCAAGATATATTTGCAGTTATTTACTGCATGTGTACAATAATAAATTAATTGCACATTGAATAGCATCACTTGGATTATATCATTAGTTTTATGCTCTGTGAATAATATGTATGGAGAAAATCCTTTCTGGGCCAAAAATTAAAACAAAGTGATTATTTTATTTATTTATTTTTCTTGCCATGCAAACTCAAAGCTCATGAATGTAGACTATAAAAGCCAAGAATTATTAGTATTAGTAGTAGTGTTTTTTTTTTTGTTTTTTTTTATTCCTGTGCCAAACTGTTTTTTTATGTCTTCACAGGATGGATGAAGACAGAGACCCAGTTCATACTGTCATTCTAGAGGACTTTACCAAGTACAGAGACTACAGTGCCTTTTACTTTTGTGGCATGACGATACTGGGATGCATCTATGGACCCAAAAGGAAGCATGGAAAAAAAGAGTGATGTTAAAACAGTCACTTCCACAGTTACCAAGTCAAAGATGGACAGCCACATTGAATACAAAATAAAAAATAAAAAGACTTTTCATATTAGAAACAAGAAGAAAGGATATCCAGCAAAGATCTCAATTGGGCACATCTGCAGATTGCCTGAAGATGTTGTGACAGCAAAGAAGTGTGTGATAGTTTGGCAAACCAAAGCCTGCTGCAGGACTTAGAAATGCGTAAGGAAGTGATGGTAGAAAACTGATTTTACATTTGCACAGAAGCACATACTGTTCATCCACAGATCATCAGTGGATATACCAGCCTGTAGTGGAGGCTGTCACCAGCAGCACAGATGCACAAGCTCTCTTCAAACACTGCGTTCAAACAAGTATGTCTGAGATTATACAAAGGACATGGCTACATGGTATTCATCACTTTATTTTTCAATTTTACCACTGCGGTTCGCCAAAGTCAGAAATGAGAAAATCCTCCACATCTGGGTTGAAATGATGTGACACACTACATCACTAAGTTCAGATTCAATTCAAGTTCATTTTATTGTCATTATATAAAATACTGGTTCTTATTTAAATGTCTTTAAAAATACTTAGAAAAGGAAACTTCCAGGTTTTGTGATGTCACAATGTGAATAAACGTAGACAGAAGTTCACAAATGACTTTTATTGACAGAATTACAACATGAACTCAAGAGGGCCTTTGTAATACAGTATACTCAGCAGTGTGTCAGAGCCTCCTGCACATACACATCCAGTACAAAAGCTGTCACTTACAGTCAGGTTGATTAACAAGTTAAATATAGTGCTTTATCATTTCCAGATATCATCTGCAGAGTGAAAATAAAATATATATCTTAATATTAATTATTAACATGGTGCATGCTCCTTCTTACACCAACAGCAAAAACCCATTTATGAGCTAAAATATCTTTTTCCAAGCAAAAAAATATAGAAAGAGTTTCATTTTGATCTGATAAGGAAACCTTCAAAAAAAAAAAAAAAAAAAAAAAAAAAAAAAAGCCTTCAGCAACAAACTTGGTACAAATACAACTTGTAAAGGCTCAACTTTGGTAGATTATTTAACGTGTGTGTGACGGGCAGACAGCACCAAACTGAAATCTTGTGAAAGGGTTTGTGTGCTTCCTGTTTTGATGTTCCAGATTTGTTTTTGCCTTGAGAAATTTCATCTTCAGCTTGTTTTCATTCGTCACAGCAACAAACAGATTATATGTCAGAGGAGACGGGCTCAAACCTACAAGTGGATGTGTCCTATAATATTGTTTTATCACTATTCCAAATGTGTTTGAGCAGTTTTCAAATATACAATATGCTAGAGATGACATATTCTGTTCACACTCATTCCAGCTTTAAATCCATCGACTTACATTCTGACAAAAGCAAAGTGTTCCCTTCGTACAGTGGCTGTTACTGATGTTGTAGGGGGATCTGTGGAGTGTTGTCACAGCGATCAGAGGATGTATAGGTCAAAAGCAGAGGAAGACTCAATTTAAGGTGCTAATGCTGCTGCTGCTGTTGTCGTAGATGCTTATAATCATGGAGGTCTAGTTGATGCAGTCCATGATGTGGATCTGCAGGGAGTCCAGGTCTGGCAGGATCTCGTTGCACTTGGGACAGGCGTGTTCAGGAATGTTTCCCTGATGCTGCCAGTCGGTACCTGCGAGTCAGAGACACTGATCACAACCTGAGCCTGCTCCATAAGTGTTTCACTTACACTGAGCTAAGCTAGTGAACTAGCTCTTACGCTGTGTGGTTTATGCTAATGTGGCTCTGGGTCTGCTAGATGTGTAAATAAGCAACTGGTTACTAACATACCAACTTCATAAAGTGGTAATATATTAATGTTGTGTTTACAGCTTTCTGCACTGCCCATATTGACCAAAAAAAGTCAGCTGATCTATGTTAAGGGTTGATCAGTCAGGTAAAGAACGTAGGGCTTGTGCAGATCCTGGAGGGAAGGTGTTTGTAAGGCTAATCTCTGGGCAAAAAAAGCAAGCTGTACCTCTTCCAACCAGAGCTGCACCGGCTCCATGTTGATTCCCTCCCAGAGACACATGTCTTCTCTGCATCTCGTTCAGCGACTGTCTGTGGAGAGAGACAAGGGAAGAGGCTGCACTGAGCTAGAGCCACGCTGATAAACGGCTCCAGGGTCAGGATATTGTACAAATCTAATGATCCCAGTGCTACACACACTTAAAGTCTTCTATCTGATTCCATACCGGCCCAGCGAGTCCATCTCCTCCTGCAGCTGGGTGTTCTGCTTCTTAACATATTCCAGCTGAGCAGCCAGACGCTCCTTCTCCTCATGGAGTTTCTCCCTCGCTGCCCGCTCAGCATAGAAGTCCGAGGAGTAGACCTCCGCCTGCACAGAGAATACGACAAAAAATGACCACCAGGAAACTGAGGAGAGCCATGTGAACACATCAAAAACATTAATACACCCACTGACCTGAGCCTGGAACACGGATATGGTCTCCAGCTCCTTCTCCTTGTGGAAGATCTCCTGCTTCATGTCATCAATCTTACTCTGTTTAACCGCCAGGGCTTCTTCAGCAGCAGTCAGCCGGTCCTGCAGCTCGTCCACCACCTCCTTCTGCACCAGCTGAGACTGCAGCGGCAGAGGACAGACATCAAACATGTCTGGAGCTCATTTGTAAATTTTTATCCCATAGCCTGTCTTTTACTGTTCACCAATCATGGCATTTTTTCTACTAAACCCAGATCACAGCTGCGTAAGAACCTCTGTGTTTTACAGTGAACGATCGGAGCAAAGTAGTGACAGAAGGAAAACAGAGCCGTCCCTCCTCCCCTGAGAGTTTCCAGTGAACAGCTTTTGATAATCAGCCGCCAAACTGAAGCAAGTAAACACAGCTTCATTTACTCAGAACTGAGTTGGAAATTTTAAATAGTGTTCACTCGATTTGGTAACTTCAGCATGGCAGGACATCTTGTGTGTGTGTGCAACGTGTGGACTGATTATAAAACATAAACACTGTGTTAAGAAAGTCCTGGACAAGCTGAGCCACAGCCTCCCCTGGTAAATGATGATAACGCCCGCTCAAAGGCCAACCTGCAGTCCACCTGACTCGTCCCCTCCCTGGATCCCAAACAGCTACAAGTGCCGCCAGATGGCAGAGCCCTGCAGGTGTGTCTGAATACACAGCGCTGCCCGGTTTGTCTAGTCAGTGGCAGCTGAAATAACCATTTGCTCTTATTTCAAATTCAGTAGCTGGAGTATTCTTTAAAAAAAAAAAAAAAACTGGCTGAGGCATTTTGTTATATCTGCCATCAACTCTAATGTGGGCATTTTCTAATTATGTTGATTTTTTTCTTGTTGAATTAATTGTGAAGTGAAATGACATTTCAGTTAGATAGACTAAATAAATTCCTTATACATTGTTTAAAATTTCGTATACACTCAATGGTTACTGTACTAACTACACCTGTAAAATCTAATGCAACATGCCCCGCCGCTACTAAATAATAACGTTCAGTTTTGTTGACACCGTGAGAGATATTAATTAAACTACATTACATTCCCCATTTACAAGCATTAGAATATTAGAAACAAATATACAGTCCAGTGCAAAACCAACACTAACTGCAGCCTCAAGTTATAAACATATAGTTAAGTTGATAGTAGGGATGTCCCGACGGATCAGCCGCCAAGGACAGATTTCCATTAAAAATACGTGAGTTAATGCTTTTAGTCACCGAACACCTTAAAATCAATCAACTGTGGTTAATACTGTGACTGAGTAGTCCCGCCTCCCACCTTGTTCAATGCGATGGCGTGCGACAGGGCCAAACCATAACAACACGTCGGCCGTGTGGAACTTTTACAAAGTGTGTGAGACTGATATAACGTACGCCATCTGAAATGCCACGATAAAATACCAACAATTTGAATGTATTCTGTATCTGACTGTAAATCCTATTATTCTTTTACTGTAAAATGCAACTGAGTAAATGTTCTGAGAAATGCTGAATTTTATTTATTAGACTATTTGTACTGTTTAGCCCATTGAATAGGCTTAATCCTTTTTTTCAGTCTGTTAATTATTGTGTTGATTTACTTAAATTAACACATGTAATTAATTCATTATTACATTGTGTAATTCAGTTGTGCTTACAGTAGGATACTTGTTGCTGCTATAACAAAACATAAAAAAATTATCAGCCAACCTCACTCATAGATGATCAGCGTCGGTATCGGTATCAGCGGGGAAAAAACGTGATTGGAGCATCCCTAATAAATATCTCTGCAACAGCGTCAACAGCTCTCCACTGAACCTATAACCGCCCCTGATTCATCTTCTCATAGCTGCATGTGGTTTGGTGGAAATCAGCTGCAGAAATGAGAAAATGTTCTCGTTCTTCTACATGAAGTTACCTCTTTTTTCTTCTTCTCCTCTTTGAGCTCATTGTAGTCTTCAAACAGTTTGGTATAGGCGTCCTTCAGCTGGGCCAGGGTGTTTCTGTGGGGGAGGAGGGAGGGGAGTTACCAGTGACTCAGCGTGTGTATGTGTGTGTGTGTGTGTGTGTGTGTGTGTGTTCACAGATAGAGTGTAACCACTTCTAGGAAATAGACATCATGGTGGCCTGGGGGAAAATGGGGGTTTCCAATACAAATCATTTGAGATTCAAGCTAACACACGACCTGTTAATGTCTGCGTGTGCTGTATTTGTGTGCGCCCTCTGACCTCTCCTCCCCGGCCTTCTTCTGCTCCATCTGGCTCTGGGCCTGCATGCTGTCCAGCTGCAGCTTCAGCCGGTCGTTCTCCGACTGAACGGCCTGTTTCTCCACCAGCTGAGCCTTCAGAGTGGCCACGTCCTGCTCCACCTCCCGGCATCTGCGCACAACAAAAAGACACTCGCAGATCAAAATGAAAGTAATCAGGACATCAGATGAAAAAAAAGATGAAACATTTGCAAATATTTGGTTAATGTCCTTCCTGCATCTCCCTGTAGTGCAGAATTGAAACAAATATGGGTACAGTATGTGTATGCGTGTGAGTGTGAGGGCCTAACCTGTCCTGCAGGTTCTTCTTCATGCCTTCTGCTTCATCCAGCTTGCTCTGGGCCTGCTGCAGCTCTTTGAACAGTGTCATCATCTGAGACTTGAGATTCTCCACTTCAGATGCTGCCTGAATGTTTGCGTAACGGCACACAAACATGGGGACGTAAACATCTCCCATCAGGGACAGCATGGAGAGCTTACTTTTCTTGTGAATTGTGAAAACTGAGTAAAAGAAATACCTTCTCTTCCTTGGTGTCCGTGGTCTCTGGCTGGGTCGTCTGTGTTGATTCCTCCACGTTACTCTTCGTCTCCTCTAGCTCTTTAATTCTGTGGCGTAAAAGTGAGAAATTTCAACAGGTGAGGTTAAATGAAAACAAAAGGATTTTGGAAGATGAAGTGGTTTTACTGCAAAAATCACAAATGAACTGTTCCTTTAAGTCGTCTACCTGGCAGCACAGTCCTGCAGCTCTGTCTGCAGCTGATCGGCCCGCTGAGTCTCGTTCCTCAGCGACTGGAGCAACTGGCTCACCGTCCCCTCCTTGCTGTCCAGCCGGGACGCCGTCATGCTCAGCTCCAGACGTCTGCTGCGCTCTGTGCCGCACACGTCGTTCACGCCATCGACGCCTCCATCCTGGGAAGAAAAACACCCAGTTGGACGCCAAACTTTGGATTACACCCATGATCGCAGAATGAAACTGTATTTTTACTAAAAATCGTCACTGAATTTCTTGAATACTACTCAGGTTGCCTGTAACAGCATGACTTCAGTTAAAATTTTTTTATGTTAGATGAGATCTTTCCAGGTGGAATAGAAGAAAATTCTGATTCAAACACTGAGTGGATTTCTAATGTCTTTGAATACGTGTGTGTGTGTGTGTGTGTGTGTGTGTGTTTTGCACCTCACCGAGACCCTGATGACCTCGATGAAGTCGTCGTCCCGAGAGTCCTGGTCCGCCTTCAGCTGCAGCTCAGAGTTCATGGCCACCAGGTCGTTCTTTTCTGCCTGCAGGCGAGCAACCTGGGCGCGCAGGACCTCCAGCTCTGATGATGTTGCCTGGATGTGACATCACATGTCACCAATGCAGAATATGAAGTAGTTAAAGTGTTCAACTGGTTATGATGCAACTTGACAGAAATAATAAGGTGGATGAAGTGTCATTGGAAATACAGAATATAGAAAAAGATCATTTCAAACTTAGGGAACATAACACTGGCTCTCTGCTGCTTTACCTGGGATCCTCCTGCCTTCCCCACCTCCTCCAGCCTCCTGGTCAGCTCTTGGTTTTGGCGGTTCAGCGCCTCCATGCGGCCACGAGCCTCCTCCAGCCTGCTCTCCAGGAAGTCCCGCTCCTCCCGCTGCTTCTCCCGCCACGCAGACAGACCCTCAAAACGCTCCTTCATCGTCAGGTTGGTCTGACGCAGGGCCTCTGAGACAGACAGAGGATTTGAATAAATGCATATTGTACTAGCCGAGTCATTTGAATTATTTCCCTTTCAACAGCTGTTACACGTCTTGGGCCCTCTGCTTTTTCCATTACCATACAGCTGGTCTCTACCACTACAGCGCTGAAACTCCACCCTGACACAAGCCATCAGGAACGCAACACTCCCTGAACTTTGACCCCTGACAGCAATGCCGGTCCTGATAAGTATGTTAAGGATGACTTGGGCAGAGTTCTTCGTTATTGAATATGGCAAGAAAAACAAATTAAAATCCTGAACGGACAGCTGTCTCCTCATCCCTGAACCCAGACCTCTGAACACCAAACTACTCTCACCTTTTAGGTCCCTGTTCTCCTGGATGAGGATGTTCATCTGCTGCAGGGTTTCCTCCAGCGTGCCAGACTGACCAGCAGAGCGAGAGATGTCACCGTTCATCATGGGGCCTCCAGACGCCATGATGCTAAGGAAGAAAATAGAAGAAGAGAAAAAGAGTTTTGATTTTGAATATTGATATAACAGCACTAATGACACAGTAACTATGAGGGAAAAGAGGACAGTAGCAGAATTGACTTCCTGTAGCTTGTTTCACTTCATCTGTGATGATCAAGATTTACATATACAGCAAATTAACACGATTGTTGAGGGAAACACAACTTTCTTTTCTACAACTTGGAAGAAAATCAGCTACAGGCCTTTGCACAAATTGCTCAGTCACATTATACATGATTTGTGTGTTTCTCTTTGGAATATTGGACTTATTATTGATCTGTGTGGAGACTGTGGGGTTGATTTTACACACTCTGACATACTGTGTTAACTGATTTAGAGGTAAATCTGGGAATAATCTAATGTAATCTAACCTTTATCAGAAATACTTTTATGGCGGAGTTTCTAAAATATAGCACCATTGATTAGCCTACCTACTAATTATTATCAACTCAATACAAAACAAACAACTCCATGTTGTCATCACCAGGTGACTCAGTGATTCAGCATGCAGCAGAAAACCAGCAAGACATACGGCATCGAAAATGAAATTATTTCATTAGCAGGTCACATGCTAATTCAATTTTATTTCAATGATAGAGAGCACTGTTTTCTATTTCTGCCCAGTTACAAAATAACCGCCTCAAATAGATAACTATGATTATTTTAGGGGCATGTCAGAGGAGATTCAACCGTTAAACTGTAACTACTCACTTCAGGAATAAAACAGTGGACACCCGTGGGATAAATATGTCACTTTAACATCGTCGTGTTAGACTACAGACACATTCTCCCTGTAAAGACCTTTTGAAAATATTAATTTTGGGCTTCCGTTGGTATAACTGTACTTTCGCTTTGCCCCAGGGCGGCCCATCCAGTCTGCGACTCTTATTAAAGCACTGAAAAGTTACCAGGAACTTACACAAGCCAGATCCGGTTTAACCTAAACCTAACTGCGTCACATCAGATATTAAACAAGTTTAAAGGTGTGAACTCACCCGCCGTCAGCTCCGGAGCTAAACACGGTCTGGACGTTCACTCCGAAAACACATAAAAACACTCGAACAGACAGCAAAGTGTGTCCAACAACCTTGTACTGCTGTTTCTGGTGTATAGCAACGTCACGTGCAGAAACAGAGCACTTCCGGTGACTGTTTTCAAAAATAAAATCACTTTGACAATATCTGTTTTTCAGGTCTGGAAAGTGAAAAAAACTTGAGAATTTTTGCAACAATGTCTATTACGTTTTTAAAATCACTTTATTTTAAATAGAAAAATACATTTACAGATACTTCTCTGAGTTCTTCTTTGGTTTGTTTCTATTTGCCTGTGATGGCTACAATACATGTTAACATTTGAAAATGTGTCCCAGATAATATAGAGAAGGAATAACAGCAACAATGAGATGGAAAAAAGAATGTATGTAATGTAAGGTAAAACAAAAAACTCCAGTCCAATACAGTCTAGCCAGTCACATGAAACAACATTTGACCATATCTTTTTTTTTTTTTTTTTTACATCATTCTGCTGTAATTGAGTAACTGTTCAATTGGGTATATTACTTGTTAGTAAATTTAGGCAAAGAAAGAAAGAAAGAAAGAAAGAAAGAAAGAAAGAAAGAAAGAAAGAAAGAAAGAAAGACAAGCCTTATCTGTATGTATGATCAAAGTTGCTATGAGATAAGAACAAATATGAAAAGACATTAATGCTTATGTTTACATATGTTTCGCTAACATTGGCCTGAAATATATTCTTTATTATCAGAATAAAAACAATAAAATGTACAAATTTTACAAACACACAACAAAATGAAATCTAAACTAAGCCTTGACTTTGAGCTTTTATTTTAAAGGCTTATTTGCCTTACTTCCTGTCTTCCCAGGCCTGATTGTTGCTAAGTGACGGGGCTCTGACTTGTATGGATTTTTACCTAGGTTTTCATTTCCTCGAAGTGACGTCGCAGAGCAGTAACAGATTGGTGTACAACGCGCAGCTGCGAGTGAACAGAGCCACTGATACGGAACAGGTCCATCCGCATGGTTTACACATCAGTCACAGCCTGTCAGCTGAGGGCGGAGTCAGCTGTCAGCTGTCAGCGGGAATTCCCTTCAGGAGTCACCTTGCATTTTGAGAAGGGAAAGGGAAGACTGGAGTTTCCCTAAATCCGCCCACAGTCATGCTCGGGTGACTATGGGAAATAACACACAGTGATATATTATTAATCTTGATGGAATATATGTCAATATTTTTATCAACATTGTTCAAAAACAAGCACTAGAGGAGAACATTACCAGTTTCTGATTTCGTATTTACCATCTGTAATAGCAATCTTTTTAGGGAAATATAAATGTTACAGCAATTATTTGAGCCCGATCATTTGTTACGTAAAAAGAAAAAATATATAAATTGCTGTTTATGTTCGTTTCCACTAGATGGCAGTGTTGTCCGAGCATTTATAGTCCGTACTTTAAAACATGGGCAGCCGATAGATCCATACGGAGTGGACTAGTTTTAGTCAGAGGGAATCAGAACACAAGATTACTGTAGTGGAGGGACTGGATATCATCCTTCACCAGAATACAGCTAAGATCCCTTCTGACACCTTCTAAACACCCCTCACGGTCCTAAAGCCCCCCTGGATCAAGAGTCCCTGAAACCTTAAATCCATCTCAGAGACCCCAAGAACTCACACAGTGCCCCCTGGAGCAGCTTCACCTTAGAAAGGGCCCGTGAAAACCCCCATGGGAGCCCAAAATCCAACTCAAGGTAGTCTGGGATTTATTCAAAGACTTCTTCAGAATGATTAGATACTACTCTCCTATTTTACTGTCGGGTTTATTAATTATTTTTCCTTTTAATCCTCGGAGATACTTTCCAGGCCTCATAGGAAAACTGATCTCCATTAAAAAAAATCTTACAAGAATAACATCAAGAAGCAGAGTTTCCATTCTGTCATGACGTTTTATTCATGTCAACTCTATCAACACGAAGGAGGAAACACGTTTTGTATCAGTTAGTGATCATTTTAAGATTATGGTTTGCCATGAAAGCTTATCAATAATATGTGTTTAACATTTGTTAAATTATACTTTAATTATTTGTTATTTATCTTACAATGTGAAGAAAATGGTCGAGTTCAACAAGTTCAGAATAAAGTTAGTTAATCTTATCCGTACAGCCCACTTGGAAGCCTCAAATGTCAGAGCGTCACATCAGTCCCTGAACGCAGCACCGGTGCGCTCTGGAGAAGCTCTTCGCTTTCTCAACAGACAGATGAGAGGGAAACATTGGGAGCACAGCAACAGGTTGGAGTTGTTGAACTTTCTACATCTGATCTTTTCATTGTAATTTCTTAAAGAGTCTGAAACAGTGAAAAGGTCTCTGCAAGATTAGTTCATGGACAAAAACTGTGGTCGAATGTAGTGTGAATTGTTATTTGGCATATTGGTATTTTGGTCAAGTGGAGCATCCTTAAGTGGTCAGGTAACCACCACAAGTGTTAAGTTCTTCATAAATGCAGTTTGTGAGACCCAATTTTAAGCAACTTGGATGCACTGAGGGGACTGATCATCTGAATAAATCAATCAACTTTGACCAAAACCTCCACCAAACTTTTCTCCAGTGAAGCATCACGACAGGTTGAAGTGCCGTCAGGAACTTTCTTGAGCTCCTCGGGATGTTTTCCACGACTCTCCTCCTCACCGCGTTCTGCGTTTTTGCGCACCCGGACGCTTTTACGCACGGGTGCCAGCTCCCCTCCGAGTGGCGGCCGCTGAGCGAGGGCTGTCGGGCGGAGCTGGCGGAGATCATCGTGTACGCCCGGGTCTTGGCGATCCACCGAGAGCCCCTGGGCGGCGGGGCGGGCAGCCTGTACAACTCGCTGCCCTTCGGGTTCGGGTATGGGTACGAGGGCGCGGAGGAAGGGCTGCTGTACTCGGCAGAGGTGGAGCTGCTGTGCGACCAGGCTTGGGGCAGCATGCTGGAGGTTCCCTCTGGTTCCAGGCTCAACCTGACCGGGCTGGGTTACCTGTCCTGCCAGTCCCACACTGTGATGGAGAACTACTCCTACTTCTTCTTCCTCAGGTGAGAGTCAGGGCCTGGACTCAACAACAGCTCCAACACACTTAGGCTCTAATTACTAACTCAGACTTTACTCATAACAGTGTAGAAGTAAGAGTTATTGTTGACATATAAATTAAGCTGTACCCTATCAAACTATTTGCCCATTATGACACTCCAGCCTCTTCACTCTTTGTCTTGGAGAAAACTATGTAAGTATACTATTCTATTCCAACAATATGATTCTGAGGTGCTACTTGAGGCTGCATGAGTGTTTCCGTTGAGTGAATTTTTCTTACTTTTTCTGCACAACATCTGCTGCCTCTTATTTTGCAAAAGAAGATTTTACCTTCTCTTCCTGTTCATGTCACCTGCAGGATGGACGAGAACTACAACATCCTCCCCCATGGCGTCAACTTCCAGGACGCCATCTTCCCCGACACGACTGAGAACAGGCGCACATTCTCCAGCCTCTTCCAGTTCTCCAACTGCACCCAAGGGAGCCAGCCGTTCCACACCTTCAGCCCCGAGTGGGACACCCAGGAGGACAGCAGGGTAGGGCCTCACACTGTTTCCACCACACACACCTGGAATTGTTCTTCTTTTGAATGTCTACAACTAAACCAAGAATTGTAACCCTAAAGACTACCATGGAGCATAAATTGGATAGCTGGTTGCCGTGGTAACACTTTCTTCTACCTGAAAACAAAACTGACTCTGACAGGTTGGCCTGATTCCCATCTTCTTGTACAACCTCATTACTTTCTGGAAAGAATAACGTCTCCTTCTTAAAGTCTGGTCAGTTTTTTTTTTTTTTTTTTTTGTGGTGTTTGCATATGATGTAAACAAGCCCAACGCCATCTGGTTACCATGGAGATAACAGATTAACGGTCCATGAACAGCAGGGTGCAGGGAGCTGGAGGTGGGAGTGGGGGGAGTGTAGCTGAAATGTGAATGTGAGTTCAGTGTGTGTTGGAAGAAAAGTGAGACAGCAGAGCGAGGTCTTAGTGTGTGTGTGTGTGTGTGTGTGTGTGGACACCTAATCCTGGGCTGAGTTGTGACTCTGCTGACAGGAATGTGGTGAGGATCAGTAGAATCACAGTGTAACTACCCTCTGGCACAGTGCACAGCTACACACACACGCACACACGCACACGCACACGCACACACACACACACACACATTATATCACTGCTCTGATTTCCAAAAGGATAACAACAAATACAAGAACACACACACATACACACACACTGAAGAGCCGACATGAGACCATGTTTTCGGTCCCATGTGATCACGTCCCAGCGTTTAGAAGATCAAAGCAATTACTGATCGGTCGAGGTCCGCCGGTCTGGCTCCTCAGGCAGACAAGATTCTGGCCGTCCAGGGGTCAAAGGTCAAATAGCAGAGATCCACATATTTGACAGGCAGCAGTTTGAAAGTGTGTCCGTCTTCAGCTTCGATCCATATCAGCATGAAGCAACAAACCTGCTGACCTGGGAGCAGTGATAAGCTGAGCCCTGTCAACGGAGATAGAAGTGTTTGTTATCACACCTCCTCTGACTGATATGAGCAGGTTGCACCTTAAACAAGACGCAACAAGGCGGCGGGAGAGAGATCGACACGGGGCCTCGTCTTCATGTTGAGCAGAGTTGAGTAGAATATGATGTGCTGGCAAATTTCAAATCAATTTCTAAAGGCGTTTTAATGTGATCATGTAAATTTGTGGTCGGTTCTGTTGATGTTGATCAGCTGAACATAAGAGTCTGTTACATGCTTAACAAGCTAATTATGCTAATTTGAAATTTCATAGTAATATGATGATGGTGTCACTGCAGTAGATCAAAAATGGATGTAGTCATGTGTCATAACAGTAACTTCATACTCATACTCACTTTAATTATATTAGAAATAGAGGGTTAAGACTTGAACTTTAGCGAATGTGGAGCTGAGACTTCACTTATTTGAGCATTATCTCTGGAAAGACTTGATTTGTAGGAGTGTAAACTAAACAAAAAAATGTATTCAAGATGGTTAGAGGAGGAAACATCAGAGAGACTCAGCCACAT